TAACCGTACCTGCCTTGCTACTCCACGAAGGCGGGAAATCTTTTCCTTCTGTTTTTGTTTGCGCCGGACATCCCCATGACGCATCGCGCTCTCCGTTCGCTTCGAGTGCTTGCTCGAGCGCACCGTTTGGACCGACAAATATAGCCAGTCGTTCAAAATACAAACGTGCGATTATCAGTTACGGTTATTATCCGTCACGCTTTACTTATTTCCGAACGAAATCTGAATATTTCAATTTTTGTTTCCGTACCCTTTTAAGGTGAAACGAAGTATAGCATCTTCCAGTCGACGAATAAAGTGATGTGTGGTTCCTTCCCAACTCAGCTACATCAGAATTCAACATGGCAGCCACCACGAGAAACAAACGGTCTCTACCCAACGATTCGTTTACAATCCGCTCAATCAGGCCGGATGCCTATTGTCAACAGACAGCCGTTCACTCTCGTCTCCAGCCACGTACTCCACACATCCCGTATAGACCGTTTCTGGGTGACGGTTGCCATGCTGAAATAAAACGTGGTCGAATTGGCCTACAAAAACTACACTAAGCAGTTTCAGCGTAACTAGAATAAGAAAGTATCGCCATGAGAAAAGTAGAACTATTGGCACGAACCCCTTGATTGGTATAAGGTTTAAAAACGCAAAGAGACAGGGACAATAGGAAATAACACAAACGACAGGGACGAGGCGCGACTCTCAACTGATTTTATTGCAAGACCGTTCATCGCTTTTATAGACAACTCATCCACCGTTTACATTTCAAACAACGCCAACAGCCAATAAAACACCTTACAAACACCCATCGAGATAGGTCACTTCTTTATCTAGTAGGATAACAGATGGCGCACTGATGCACTTGTCATTCTTAGCAGTGAGAGAGTGCAGGCGAGCTGGTAATCAATCGTCATCTTGTAAACCCTGAGATGGGGAACGATAAAAAAACGAAAACTTCTTTTTAATAAAAAAAGCCTCTATAGTCTCCCGCTCTGTTTTTTCTTTCGCTTTTTTCAAGAACGTTGTTGACTCCACAATCGGCTCGCAACCACAACGCTTGCCATGCTCCGACAGATGACCCCCCGATTTGTTGCGTACAGATAGTTTGTGCTCTCTTGCCCTGTCATTGAAACAGCGTCCTGTTTGACCTATATAAACTTTCCCGAAACTAAGCGGTATTTCATAGATGACGTTAGTGACACAGTCAGTATATTGGCTTGCATGCTTCTTGGAGCACAAAACTTTCTTTTTTCTAGTCATCATCGGACAAATCTTAGCCAGTTTGCAGGACGCAGAAAAAACAATGTTAACATTGTATCTGCTGGCAATCTTTTTTATGTTGTGTGAAACTTTGTGCATGTGTGGAATGACTTGCACTCTTTTTTGTCTTTTTTTGTGATACTTCCATTCTTTTGGTTCTTTTGTTTGATTTTTTGAAGCAGGTTTTCACAGACACTAGCAATCAGCCATGAAGGGAACCCTGCATTCCGTAACCGTTTAATCTGTATATCAAAGCTAGTCGACTTTTGGTGATTACAACTTTTTGAAAAAGCTGCCTGGAGGCAGGTTATAGCGAATTCCTTCTTAATAATCTTAGACTGAGCACTGTCAAATGACACTAGGCTTTTCTTTGACCGCGGTTTATACATCCAACAAAAATGGTCTCCAGAAAAGTTTATCGTAAGATCTAAGAATTGGATGCGCTTGTCATCTGGCATCTCCCAAGTGAACTTCAGACCTCCTGATGCCTCTGTGAAGGCTCTGACAACTTTCACAACTTCATCCAAATTAGTAGCAGTATTTAAAATTACAAGGAAATTGTCAACATACGTAAACGCCTTTACTATATCTAATTGCGCGAGACCTTCAAAGATCCGTTTGTCCAACGATGCTAAAAAAATGTCACATAAAACAGGGGCAACGGACGAACCAATACAAACACCAGATTTTTGTATAAAAAACTGCCCACTGACGTTAACAGAAGTAGAACCCAGATAAAATTCTAAAAGCTCTAAAAAATGCTCACTACTGATACCTGCAGAATTCTGAAACACTACCGCCCCCGATTCAGTGATCCTGTTCCTCACAGCGCCCTTCACGGTTGGCCGAATGCTGACTATGACGTCAACAAAGGATTTCTCATCGACGCAAACAAGAGGAATGTTAGAACTTTAGTTTCGGCGGTGTTGGCAGTGTTGCTTTGAGGACGCAATGATTTCAAGCTTCCACCATGCTAATTACAAGCACCATCGAACTTGTTGCTCGGAGGGTAATGACGTCGCGAGAGGGAAACAGGAGGGCGCCACCAAAACATCTCTCCGCCAATTGAGCAAAATTTCACGCATTAACTTTTAAGTAGTGAAAATAAACACATTGTTCCAATTCGAAAATTTCCGAGAATTATAGAAAACCACTAAATCAACTAATTTTTAGAAATATGTAAGACAAATACAGCATTTTACGGCGATAAGAAAAATCTCTAAATTTGGAATTGTTTGTTGGTTTTGATTTCCTGTCAGATTGCGATTAATGTGCAGCATGTGAGCGAGTGTTGTGGTTTGGTACATTACCGAGCCTACCTCGTGTATAGACCAACCCTATTTTGTGACGTCACGCCATTATGGTGGCGCTGCTGTCGGCACTGAGCATGCGCACACGCCTCATTCAAAAATGTAATTTAATTTCACATTCGTATATTATTTATTTTTGTTCTTGAACAATATTCTCTACGTTCGTGTGGGTTCTAGGGCAGGCTAATGTAGTTATGTTTTAATTATTTTATTGGATAAATAAAGAGTAATTATTGCCAGGTGCTTACACTTTTTTATCGGATGTTTGCGTAACTGGCTGATAATGTTACACCACTCGCTAAGTGTTATAATACAAGTGGACAAGGATTTTTTTTATATTTTTGTTTTACGTTTTTCATAATTTTTACAAATTTCTTATTTGTTAATACAGAGTAAAATGAAAATTAATGAAAGTTCTGGTCGAAATTTTATTTTAATATTATACTACCAGTGCAAAATTTTCACGTTAATATAGGAAGGAAAAATAAGATACACGTGACAATATTTACTCGGTCATTAAATAATTAAGCCATGATTATATTAGCTTGTATTCGAGTATGTAGTTTTAGATTTCTTCGTGTGAATTAAAAACAATTTGTACCAATTCATGATGGTCGCCATAAGACCGGAGTCTTTTTTCCCCCGAGAACCGTAAACCATAGAGTTATTACAATAAACGCTAGAGGCTCAGCTGGCGCTAGTGTCTACGGGACTTCCAGTTGCGAATTGAAGGAAACAGCAAACAGTCTACGTTTCCAGTCTTCTGCGTATTCCTATGAGAAAACGTACGGGATATTTTTCTCTTCGCCAGGGAATATTAGAATTCAGCGTAGTTTCTTTACTCGTTACGGGTACTATGTAGCTTCCTTCACATTATAGAAGCGTAATTTATTTAATTAATTGGTTTTTCTATTATTACTGTGCGATATTTAAGTCGGCAAAAATTTAGACTCAGGTCTACGTTGTACAGCATGATATGTCAAGCCAAACTATCAACTGAAGAAAAAAGAACAAATAAAAAGTGCATAGGGTTGATTCAAGCTGTAATCGCATTCAGATAACGGACACGCAGCATGTTACTTATGCACAGTTTGTTACTAATCCAGTACGTGTTCTCCGTCCCATAACTCCATGCTTTGTTCTTGTTGTGTGTTTAGATTGTTTGATTTTGCCTATATTAGCATCCTTCTGGCATTTCATCAAGCTGATTCACTTTATGGGCTTCATAACATTGATTTTATGCGTAAATACGTGCCCTATAGTAGCAGTCTGGAACGTAAACGCGTATTATACATGTTGGGGTATTTTAGCGCAGTGTTCACCATTATGAATTCTAAAGGAAAACGCTCTAACAGGCACATATTTTTGTACGTCCGATTGTAAAACGTTCCAATCTTTTTATTCTGTCACAGCACTAAGCAGACTTTGCTCTTATAATCGATCGCCAAGAGAAAACGCATTTGCGTTTTCCATGGGAATGCATTACCGGAAGGTAAGCTTAGACTGGTTGCTGTCTGCTTTAATATGCAATAGCACACTAGCGATACCTGAACCTATAGTGATCATTGTAATATCTCCATGTTGTAAACGAACGAAATAGCATACCAGATAAAATTGTCTCCTCGGCTGCAGCTTCCTCATTTTTTTTTTCGGTTCTGCAGAACTTTTTTTTTTTCGCTTACTGTCTATTTGTGGATTTGTTTGGTTGTGTGCTTGCCAATTTGTTGTTTTGTCGCAAATTTTATATTATGTCATTATTTTTATACCTGATGTCATTTGAACTGTTTTCGAATCGTACGCATATTTTCGATGTGTGTTTTATATTTTATTCGCCTTTTGGTATTGTCTTCGCCCTACAATAATGCCCGGGTAAGGGCGATGTAGATAACAGAATAAATCAATCAACCGCCGATCTTTGCAACCAATTAACCTAATTTAAGCAACGTCATGTTACGTCGGGAGGAAACGTTTCTGATTTCATGGAACAACTCGCAGCAGAAACGGACTCGCTGGAAAATATTATCACATGTCAGGAGGCGGACATTTTATAGTACGACGTGAAACAAAGCTACAATCGATGCTGTGAAAAAGTCCCGCATCGCCGACAATTAAAATGGCCAGACAAGGAACTGTGAACGAGACAAAAGAGGAAAAGGGCGGCGCTGCTGAAGGGCTGTGCCGGAGCTGCAGCATTGTTTCTAACGAGAAAACATTTTATGTATCATGCGCAACACCCTTCCTCCCACACACACACAGATTTCTGATTTTTGTAACCCTGAAAACAAATTATGAGCAGAAATGAGCTGTTCTACGCCCAGATGTAGCGCCAGGGGTATGAACTGGTTCGAGCGAGATGCCAGCGTTTCAGAACAAAAGTTACGTTGCTAACAAAACCCAGCGCAAAAAAAAAAAAAAAGCGACGAAGGACAGGTAAAATTAGGGGACGCCTGTCGTGTCCATCTGTTGGTTCGGACCGCTAGGGTTACATGCGAGCGGAGAATGAGTGTTCAGCCACGTGTTGTTTAACAACCACTCCTCGTAAGTGGTGCAGCGAGGACCAAGTTGTTCCTTTACAGCGCAGACACATACGGCTCTGGAAACCGCTTCCTAAATACAACGTTATTTGTGCAATTTGGAACTATGCTCGTTCGGTTTCGACTAAAGCGCAGACCGCATGGCGCGTTTTTGCTCGCGACCAACGAGGTAGAGGGGCTTAGAGTGATAAACCGGAAGTTCGGAAGTGGCACCCCCCCCCGGTTGCCGCCATATTTTACGCAAATGTGACCACTCGTCACGTGACCTCCCAAGAGCCGTGACGTCATAGGTAAGATGGCAGCGCCCAGAGCTGGCGGATGCGAGTTTGTTCGGTGCGCGGTAGCCGTGATGTGCAGCTGCTTTCCGACGACTTCGGGCTTCTTCGTGCTCGCTGACGCAGGTATAATGTGAAAATATGAAGGAATGAGACTTTATACCGTTTTTGCGCAAGATCGCTCTGGATCATATCGATATTAACGCCTGTGAGACAGCATCAGCTCTGCATCGCCGTACCGGTGCTCGGATTCCGGGATGTGTCCGAGGATCGATAGAACTTTGAGTGCTTTTAACATAAAATTTTCGCATTCTCTTAGCTTTGTTTGAACGTTGAAATATCTGAGAATCTACGCGAAATGTATACGTCGCGTTAGGGCCTAAGGGAAGTTGTTTCAGCCCTCCGTCACCGAACAACCATAGCAACTTTTAGCGAGGAAGCTCCTGCGATTTTAACCTTTTGTGCTAATCCACGATTCTACATTCGATCGCTTTTCTTCCTTTTTTCTTTTGTGTGTGAGTGCGACGTGCACCCTTATTTTCAGCTACGAGGTTGGCGTTTTATTGAGTATGGGGAAGAATAAATCGTTGCAGGCACCTGCTTCAAAGCAATTCGACTTGCTATAAGAACAACTGTTTTGGTGCATGCATAGATTAACTGCGCATTTTTTTCTGTTTTGTAGGATTTATTGCAGCTATACCCTTTTCCATCAAGAGTGCATTGTATTAGTCGGTCAATTATTTAATTGTTCTAATTTCCTGGATAAGATGATTCATATTTGTGTTCATCCCTTGCCTGGAGAGCAGTCTTGTTGAAAAATGTTGACTACCATTCCTTTCGGTCTCTTCAATAGACTCTTTTTAAAAGTGTGGGCTGTCTATACTTCGCATCACCGTAACTTGGAAAAGGCCAACCGCCACAGTCCCCTCGAGCCAATCAGAGAGACGGAGCGAAGGTGTGCGACAAATCTGTGCAGACGAGCACTCTGGTGATATGCTGTCATGTGCCTCTCTCCAATGTGTGTATTGACTCACCGAGACTGTAGCCTTTGCCGTCTGCCAAATTCTGATGAAACAAATTACAGCAGCTACTACTGTAATTACCCCAGGCTTTCAGAGTTTGGGCATTTGTTCGACAAGAATGTTATGTCCGCCATCCCTGTGAATTCGGCTCAGCACCTATTGGACTCGAATGCTGCATTAGCGTTCGACGTGAACTGGGGCCCATTCGTGTGCTTTACGCCGAAAAACATGGTGACGGTTGTGTTGCTTGATAAGGCTCTGCAAAGGGTCTAGTGTGTCATACATATAGGAAGTGTCATGCTATATAACAATGCATCAACACATACTATTAAACTATATGCTCAGAGGTGTGTTTGTTTTTCCAATTAACAAGTTACAGCAGTGTGCTTTAATGCTATTATCATGTGTGTAGTTTTAAGTATCCTCTCTGCAATGCCTACGAAGGCCCCTGGAAGGAATAAATTAATAAATAACATTTTCACATCACTGGAGTTGGTTTTCGGATGCACCACATGTTCAGGAAAGGTTGAACGAGTGCAGCCCCTTGCTAGAAGTCTGCGAGTCTGGTATGACCCCTTAATTAATATTGAAGGGTCAGAGAAGCGAGTGTCCTCGTAAGGTCCAAAGCGTGCAGTGGACACAATTCTCGGTGTGTAGACTCTCAAGGCATGAAGGCAAGCGGAAATATGTTTATCGGGTTAGTGTATCAAATATGTTTATTTCCACTTGATTACATAATTATTGATTCTTAGTAAATGGTTCCATAACGAGTTCTTTCTGCGACAGTCTCGTGTCAGGTGTTCAGTCGTAGTACCTGTGGACCTTGTTGTCGGATAACGCTCCTGGCACGTCGGTGTTCAGTTTGGTCGAGTGGCAACTTTGACCGACTGATGCTGTCTTGTAATCATACGTCATGTGCGGCCACTGACGTCTGATGCACTAAAGCTGCAGGGCTGGCTTCTAATCCGAAAATTTTCCTGGTAGTTTTCGGCATCAATGTAGCAAGCTCGGGCATGTATTGCTTACGTGGCTGTGCCTTTTGCTGTACCGTTGACTTGAAAGCTGGCAACAATTTTTGTTTGCTATCCAAGTCTGGTGGGGCTTGCAGTTCACTTTTGAGAGCAACCAACCATTCTATTCCTTCAAGTCACTCGGGGGCATTCTCCCTCAAAGTTGGAAATTGTGTACTTCGTGGAGTGGACACAGAAAATTGGTGTCAGCAAATTTTTAGGTATTGTCCTTGGACGACAACCGACACCAAATCCACTGTCACTGCATCGCCGTTCACCTGCTTTGTCGTGCTTACCTTTTGTTGAGGTGATGGACATGAGGAGCTTTGGGGTAATCAGGGATTCAGAATCTTCGTTTCAGCACCTTCGGCATCAGGGACAAAAGGTCGCCGAAGGTAATCCTTAATCTCCCGTGGTCGCTCCTCGAGACGTAATCGAGGGTCGTTTGGCACGAACCCTCGCCGACCAATTCATTGGTACGGGCTACTTTGGTAGACATGGTCGGCTTCACGCAGTGGTAGCAAAGTGGTTTTCGGTCGCACATTCGCATCACCTACGTTTTCCTCGGTGTACTTTGTTGAGCACAGACCTACACACGATGCCGGGAATGCTTCGGCGTTAGAGTGTCTCATTGAATTGGCATTGAATACAAAGGGGCAGCCGGTGGCGGTCGTCGTGCCATTGTGGCGTAAGTTGCCCTTGGTTTGTCAAGTGCCGCTTCGCTCGCAGAAGTCTCGGTTGAAATACCTGTCAAACTTGTTCCGAAACAATCTCGGCAATCGAAATAAAAGCCGGGCAACTGATGGCAGGAAGTAGCTTCCTGATCTCCTCCCAGACAACGTCGTGGATGCCTGGGAGGCTGGCGTCGAAGTAGTAGCTGGACAACTCGAGTGTCGAGACGCCGGGAAGTTGTTCATAGTGGCAGGCTCGGGCATGCAGTGCACATTCCATGTTGGAAGCCTCAGTGATATGAACACTTCGACTGTTGTTGGGGGGTTGCGGACAAGGCTGCCAAAGGTGTTGTCCCTCACGTGAGGGGCATGGGATTCTTAGGTTCTTGTCTTCTGCAGCATCAAGGTCGGCGTGGGCGTGGGCGTGGGCGCTCGATCAAGCGCAAAACATCCTCCACGAGTGCGGTGGCGCTCTCATTGGGGCAGTGCCCTGGACAGAATCAAGAATGCGGCTCTCTCTCGTTGATGTTGGCTGACGAATGCGCGCTTCAGCTCGATCTTGCAAACTTCCCATGACGTTAAGGAGGATCCATGGTTCTCAGACCAGCGCCGGCAGTTTCCTCCACGAGAAGTATAGGTTCTGCAGGAGCTGGTTGTCTGTCCACCCAATGTGGCGGGCGACACTGTCATATTGTTCAATCCAGTCCTTGACGTCTTCATACAGCTTGCGTGAAAAAGCGTCGGAGTGGGATTTGCGACGGGCATGCAAACAATGGTGGGAGGGGACACGGTTTGCTGCTACAGGCTTGTCATTGTTGGCTTAGTCAGCTTCGGATTTTCTGACAGGAGACCGAATTCCGGTGGTTTTTCCTGGTAGCAGCAACTGGCTCGGATTTCAGGTGCTTCGTGGTGTATTTCCGAGGTTACTCCTTGTGGTACTCGGTCGTCTTGCGGTTGTTCTGCCAGGCTCGGGTCAGGACTTTGCTTATGGCTTGACAGGGGCATAAGACGCAGGATAGTCCGCCAGCCGTGTCCCATTATCGGGTAACTCGGCTGAAGAGCCGCCGGGTTCACACAGAGTGAAGGGCTATGGGTAAAGTGCCCAGCACCTCCACCTGAACATACGATTAGAGCTGAGCATGACCTGCAGTGTCCCAAAATAGTGAATATTGATAGAAGAGAGTACTGGAACAAGGATCCGTGACAGTATAACAAAACTCGCAGAAGAGAATCTATCCTGAACACTGAAGAAGCTGCATTGCTTTAGTGGCATTTTGTCCGAATAAATCCTCTCCTTCGGGGTTTGGCGACTGCCGTGGACGTACTGAACTGAAATGGATGTGGGACCACTTTTCTGGCAATGAGCCATTGCAGACTGTTGCCACAAAGCGGCGTGAGCTGGGTACGTAACACGCTCGATGAAATGTCCGGACAGCTTGTAATTCGCGTAACGAGTGTGGATGAACGTTTGTGTTGACGAAACGTGCGACAGACCAGCGGCATCAATACCAACTGCAACACCTGTGCTCTGTGAAAGTGCACGTCTACGCCGGAACAATTTCGGAAGCAGCACAGCATCACCTAAAGCATGGCACAGGAACTACCAGCTTGAAGGCAGCTCTTCGGTGCGCCGCACACCTGTGCTCCGTGAACGTGCACTTCTACGCCGGAACAATTTGTAAGCAGCACAGCATCATTCAGCACGGCACGGGAACTACCAGCTTCAAGGCAGCCTTCCGGTGCGCCGCACAACCGAAGTGAGCCCTCGGTCATTTGACCGAAGCTGCACCGCGATTGCACACCGCCAAGCACGACTCATGCAATTTCCGTTGTTAAACTGTGTATCCAAATATATTGCCCACGCTTCACTTCAAACCTCGAAGATTCCGATGGTCAATGAGAGCACATAAACGTCGCCTTAAATTTTATCCTAGCGGTATCCGAATCAATCCGAGGTCCGAGCAACGTAGGTCAGATTGTCTCTTCCGTGGCAATATCCCGGTCGGTCACCAGCGAAATGCAGACGGTCACCAGCGAAATGCACACCGTTTCTCCGTATTTTCACGTTATACCTACGTCAAACACCACGCTGAACTCTGAACTCGCTTTCGACCGGCCTCATATGACGGCTTCCGCGTCTGAAATCAACTCGCCGAGACGAACGACAACCAAAAAAGCATCCGACAAGCTCCGGCCCAGCTGGGGCCAGCCGCTGCAAGGGCGCTGCCATCTTTCCTGTGACGTCACGTATTTTGTTTGGTCATGTGACGTGTGGTCAAATTTGCGTACAATGGCAGCCGCCTTATGGGGGTCACTTTCGAGTGCAGACCGGAACCCCGGTTTATCGCTCTAAGCCCCTCTACCTCGTTGCTCGCGACTCAGGCGCGTCAGTGTAAAACTGACGTCATTTCCTGCGCGCGGGCGCGCGTTTTCGCGGGAGCGTTGGTTTCCAGCCGACCCAGAACAAGACGCGCGTGCCGAGGCGTCGAAGCGGGTCTCGCCCAATGAGGGTCGGTCGAACTATCACGTGATCCTGCACAGTACGCTCTTTCGTATTCAGCCCATTTCGAAGTGTTCAAAAGCATTTTTATTTCCCATATAAAATTAAAAGGTGTGTCTTTTGACACACAAACCAGTTTTATTTACTTATTTGTTCCTTTAGTTCTCATTTTTAATATTTGCGTCAAGATTTACATCGCGTGTTGAGAATTCTGTTATCTGGCAACGCTGATAACGCGCGGCCGGCGGTGCTTGGTGCCGCGCCAGCTTCCGCGGAGCATCTGTCTCCGTCGGGTGGCTGCGTCATGCTCTTCTTGACGGTGAACTTCTGTCCGTTGTGGTAGGACAACGCGTCGTAATCTGTGCATGCCAAAACACCAGTGTCAGCCAAGCGAGGGTGTTGACGGCTCTTGCATTATGATATTCTAACAAGCAGCAAATATAAAATATTATGTTCTGTGATATAATATGTTCTGTTATAGGCAAACATCTAGAATCATTTTACTGCGTCAGTGAACACAAAATGATTTTCGTTACTTCCAAACTGATTTGCATACAAATTGTTTAGACGCATTGATTGACACAACTGAACTAGTAACTTAAATTACAAATCACAGTACTTTTTTTCTGAAGTTAATGCATTTTAAAATCTGGTCCGAAAGGCTCCATGGTAACATTGACAACACTGAAAACGCGACGCCAAAAACGTGACGCTAAGTGGAGCAAGCTACCGCCCGCTACAAAGGTACGGCCATTATCATTCTTCAATCCATTTATTGATTCCTATATAGGATTACTATATGGGGACAGCACAGTTTGTACTTGTTTGGTGGCGTGCAATAAATTCTAAGCTAGCTCACGCCAAAAAAGAAAAAAAAAAACGCTTAAAGTACAGTGTCGTTTTAAACTGTCTGCTCGACTTCCAAGTTATACAGCGTGTGACATCACACTGCTGGAGAACGCGGGAAAATTTGAATGTTGATTTTGGCAGAACCTTCATTTGCTGCTTTCTCAATTGCTAATCTGAATGGAGAGATAATAAATAGCAAGTTGGGAAGACTAAAGCCTGGGTTTTCCGAAAATGCATTTAGTCTGACTAGTTCGACAACCCACTTAAAGTGTCAATAATTAATGTCCGGAATCGTGCTGGGGCTTCAGCTGTACCAGTCACTACGGATGTATGCAGTTGAACTGAATGGTAAACAAAACCTGGTAAGAAACAGCAGTCAAAAGTCAACATGATAGCAAAGGGCCAAACCGCGGCTCTCGAGCCGCGTGCGGCTGTTCACGGGTCCAAGTGCGGCTCACGGCTCCTTGGTAAGTCTGCCCCCTTTCTCCTCCCGTGTCACCAAGACAAAACAATATTCTACAATAAAAAAAAATAAAAAAGCTCATAGTCTTGGCAGTCTTGTACTAGACAACGTACATAAAACCATATTGCTTTTCGGCATAAAGATGCCCCATACATGGGTAAATTACTCTCAAAATGTAATTTAATTACATTTACAATTACTTTGTTTTAAAAGTAGTTTAATTACAATTACAATTACTAGTAAGTGAAAGTAATTCATTACGACTACAAATTACTTTTAAAATGTAATACAATTACTTATCTATGAGAGCGATTCGACTTGGGCCATATGACTTTAAGCGAGTAGTTAAGAATGCAACGCATTTGTTCTTTGCTTGCCCCACTTAGGAGGAGGCTTAGGCATCGCTGTGTAAATGTCATGTATTGTACGTTACTCGTGTGAATTATGTTAAATTATTAATACTACTGGACAGTCTGGGGCAATGAAGTCTTACATTCTTTTATTTTCAAGAAATCCCAGGTAGCACGCCAGAGGAATGCCCAACTTGGGCAAAGGTCTGGCAAACATAAGGGCCCAACTTTGGCGCAGTTAGGTTTTTGCACCATGGCACTCATCAGTGCCAAAGTACGGTGCCTAACTATAGCCTTAGTTGGGCGATACTAGGGCATGCCAAAGTTTGGCTCTTCTCTGGTACGCCAGAGGAGTGCCAAAGTTGGTGCCATACTTGAGCCATAACTGCCATAGTAAATCCTAATCTGGGAATGCGGGGTATGCCAAGGTTTGGCGTTTCTCTGGTCCGCCAGAGGAGCGCCAAAGTTGGTGCCATACTTCAGCCAGAACTGCCAGAGCAACGCCTAATTTCGGTATTTGGGACGTGCCAAGGTTTGGCGTTTCTCTGGTCCGCCAGAGGAGCGCCAAAGTTGGTGCCAGACTTGAGCCATAGCTGCCAGAGTAACGCCTAATTTCGGTATTTGGGACGTGCCAAAGTTTGGCTTTTCTCGGGTCCGCCAGAGGAGCGCCAAAGTTGGTGCCATACTTCAGCCATAGCTGCCAGAGTAACGCCTAATTTCGGTATTTGGGACGTGCCAAGGTTTGGCGTTTCTCTGGTCCGCCAGAGGAGCGCCAAAGTTGGTGCCATACTTGAGCCATAGCTGCCAGAGTAACGCCTAATTTCGGTATTTGGGACGTGCCAAAGTTTGGCTTTTCTCGGGTCCGCCAGAGGAGCGCCAAAGTTGGTGCCATACTTCAGCCATAGCTGCCAGAGTAACGCCTAATTTCGGTATTTGGGACGTGCCAAAGTTTGGCTTTTCTCGGGTCCGCCAGAGGAGCGCCAAAGTTGGTGCCATACTTCAGCCATAGCTGCCAGAGTAACGCCTAATTTCGGTATTTGGGACGTGCCAAAGTTTGGCTTTTCTCGGGTCCGCCAGAGGAGCGCCAAAGTTGGTGCCATTCTTCAGCCATAGCTGCCAGAGTAACGCCTAATTTCGGTATTTGGGACGTGCCAAGGTTTGGCGTTTCTCTGGTCCGCCAGAGGAGCGCCAAAGTTGGTGCCAGACTTGAGCCATAGCTGCCAGAGTAACGCCTAATTTCGGTATTTGGGACGTGCCAAAGTTTGGCTTTTCTCGGGTCCGCCAGAGGAGCGCCAAAGTTGGTGCCATACTTCAGCCATAGCTGCCAGAGTAACGCCTAATTTCGGTATTTGGGACGTGCCAAAGTTTGGCTTTTCTCGGGTCCGCCAGAGGAGCGCCAAAGTTGGTGCCATACTTCAGCCATAGCTGCCAGAGTAACGCCTAATTTCGGTATTTGGGACGTGCCAAGGTTTGGCGTTTCTCTGGTCCGCCAGAGGAGCGCCAAAGTTGGTGCCAGACTTGAGCCATAGCTGCCAGAGTAACGCCTAATTTCGGTATTTGGGACGTGCCAAAGTTTGGCTTTTCTCGGGTCCGCCAGAGGAGCGCCAAAGTTGGTGCCATACTTCAGCCATAGCTGCCAGAGTAACGCCTAATTTCGGTATTTGGGACGTGCCAAAGTTTGGCTTTTCTCGGGTCCGCCAGAGGAGCGCCAAAGTTGGTGCCAGACTTGAGCCATAGCTGCCAGACTAACGCCTAATTTCGGTATTTGGGACGTGCCAAAGTTTGGCTTTTCTCGGGTCCGCCAGAGGAGCGCCAAAGTTGGTGCCATACTTCAGCCATAGCTGCCAGAGTAACGCCTAATTTCGGTATTTGGGACGTGCCAAGGTTTGGCGTTTCTCTGGTCCGCCAGAGGAGCGCCAAAGTTGGTGCCAGACTTGAGCCATAGCTGCCAGAGTAACGCCTAATTTCGGTATTTGGGACGTGCCAAAGTTTGGCTTTTCTCGGGTCCGCCAGAGGAGCGCCAAAGTTGGTGCCATACTTCAGCCATAGCTGCCAGAGTAACGCCTAATTTCGGTATTTGGGACGTGCCAAAGTTTGGCTTTTCTCGGGTCCGCCAGAGGAGCGCCAAAGTTGGTGCCATACTTCAGCCATAGCTGCCAGAGTAACGCCTAATTTCGGTATTTGGGACGTGCCAAAGTTTGGCTTTTCTCGTGTCCGCCAGAGGAGCGCCAAAGTTGGTGCCATACTTCAGCCATAGCTGCCAGAGCAACGCCTAATTTCGGTATTTGGGACGTGCCAAGGTTTGGCGTTTCTCTGGTCCGCCAGAGGAGCGCCAAAGTAAGTGCCAGACTTGAGCCATAACTGCCGCAGTAAATCTTAATTTGTCGATTCGGGGCATGCCGAAGTTTGGCTTTTCTCTGGCCACCCACTGAAGTGCCAAATAAGTGCCAAAAGTGGCAAAGAAAGCCGAGAGGCCAGCCCAAGTTTCGAATATCTCTGGTGTGTCACAGAAGTGCTCTTTCACGCGTCCCAGAAGAGAAATAAATTAAACAAGCGTTGGAAACACGATGGTAAGATGTCATCACCTCCGTTCCCAAGCAGCACGGCAATACTTTGCAGTATCGTGCCAGTGCCGGCCGAAAGTCGGTTCCAATATTGCTCAACTGTCCAGTTTTGTACCACCGTTTGATACCCGACGGGTATTGCCGTACAGCTGTTTCGCCCCGGCCTAGCGTTCGCGCAATATTGTGCGAAAACTCTACGATGCGTCTGCTTCGTATTGGCCGAACGTCGTGCAAGTATGTGTACGTTGCATGTCATTTGTTGCATATCCAATCACTTATACGGACAAACAATTTTTTTTCGATCGCGCCCAGAAGTTTATTAAACAACTATCTTTGCACGCAATGTATTTTCAACATATTTACAAAGGTCACACTTCTCTGTAGAACGAAAAGCAAATTATAAAATACAATTAGCACTGTCCTCATGCCAAGCAAAACTCATCACACAAAAACCGCGGAGATTGAGAGGAAAGCAGGACGACTATCAGAATCATGCTTGAGTGCACTTACTAATAAAAGAGCGATATCATGTAATCCTTGATAGATGCATAATCCAACTCAGGCACCCCACAAACATATTCGAGGATTCGAGGACTGACGTCTCGTCGTCGGCGAAGAGCAGTTTTTGTCGAAGCGTGTCCAACAAACACATCACAAGTATTCCACGAACTCCGGTGCAAAAAATGGCTGTTACCGAAAAATTGGCATGGACGTATTCCGACCGTTTACGAAGAAAAAAACACAGCCGCGTCTGCAGCGCACGAAAGCAACAGAACACTGAAGAGCGCAGTTCGAAAACCGGACCTACGTGGCCCGCTTATTTCTATAACTAGGCAAACGGCGAAAACGACAGCCCCAGAGATCCCATCAGCGTGACAGAGAAAGTCACGTGAAAAATTTTCGTCGAAACGTTTTTGTCCTACGCGTCCTACATAGAGAGGTCACGCTGGGTCACGCGTTTCGCTTCACCCTTTTGATTTGCTTAAAGCGGCTGTCGCGCTCGCTGACAGCCACACGAAGACACAAAAGCAGGTGGGGAGGATTTGCAAAAGGCGAGGTCGAAGGGGAATCAACAACGCATAAAAGGAAAGGCCGCTTCTCCGGTGACCTTGTCGCCTTGCCTAGTCTGTCAG